GGCCGATAAAAAATGGTGACGTTTGGTAATAACTGAAATCTGCCATGTAGTATTTGTATACATTAATACATTTTACCTTGCTTGAAACTACTGAATTCATTCTACTAGCTGACATTGTACAGAAAACCCATGTTTATCAAAACAAGCAAATGCAGAGGTCACGCGAGGTCGCACATGTACAGTCAAGTAACCTAATTTCATGGAAACCTATTATTCGTGGATTTCCGGAAAGGATTAATAATTTACATGAGCGATCTTGCGCGACCTCCGCATTAGTTTGTTTTAATAAACATGAGTTTATGGTAATATACATAAATTACGCTACGTATCTTATTTTGTCAGTCACTATTTTTTTTTAAATCGTGGGTCTTTGAAGGAATTGTCACTAGTTATAATGAATTGATATCAAAGATAAATACTAAGAGAAGTTAATTATACCACCCGGTATCTATACAACGTGTTTTTCTCGACTTATTTATAGATCAAACATTGTACACGAAAATAGGTGAGGCAATCTGCCGCCGTTGTCGAGTTGGTTACTCATGAAATATGGGTCAAAGTGAAGGATTCATAAAGAAAATCGAAATAAACCAATTTTAATTATTTTGTAGAATATCTGAGGAAACATCTAAGACATAAAAAAAAAATTTCATTTTTTTAACATTGACGAAATTCGGTGTTGAATCCTTATATCCACGAAAATAGGTTACACCACTTTAAATTACTAATCATTTCCGGAAATGCACGACGAAATTAGGTTACTTGACTGTACATTATGTACATATTTGGTATGCTGTGAGGGTATTATTAATCCTGTGTGAAATTCTAGGTAGGCCTTAATTAAAATGTGTAAGTGTAAACCTATTTAACTGCAATGTTACAACCTAGAATTCCTCATTCCTTATTTATTAGGTCTTTTTTAAGAATTGTCTTAATAAAATTAAGAGTACAACTTACCATCCAATAAACAGTTTTGCCCATCAATCTGAGTATGTTGGGTGTAAGAATCTTCAATTGTTGGATCATAATCTTGGACAAATAATTGTTGAAAGAATTGAATCGTTAGTGCTGACTTTCCAACACCTCCGTCTCCAACCACAACTAATTTATAAGTCGTTTCATGATCGTTTGGTGGTTTTGGCATTTTTAAATTGTTTCCTTCTTGATGTTTAGTCTTAGATACACTGATACCTACATTTATTTCATAAACTAAAATTATGATCAATGTGCGGAATAAATGAACAAAATTATTTATGAAATAATGAACCGTCGTCTGCTCTAAAATGAATTACAAAATAAAACAAACGGTGAATAGAAGTCGTTTCGCTTTCTTGGATTCCGTTATTCGTTCGGCCTTCACCTTCAACGGGCACCTGTTTTGAAGTCTGAAATACAACTGAAACGAAATTTATGTTCAAATGCATTTCATTATGCAATTTACGATGTAACTTTCTGGATGGTTTTAAACAAAATAATATATAATCTTTATTTATTCTTTACAGAATGGAAAAATATTATATGAGAAAGTTACAATTTTTAGGATGCCAAAACCTGAAGCTAAGATCTTCCAGTCCTATGACACAGGCTCTACTTTACACAATGACAACCAAGACTATCAAACATGGCTGCGCCCATGAGTTACAAAGGTTATGTTGTAATTAAAAAGTTAGATCTAAGTAAAATATTGATTAGATATGCATCAAAGTTAAGAGAGGCTACAGACAAATCTCAAAGTCAAGGGAAACACAAGGTAATGTAGCTAGCGTAGTGTCGTGAAGGCTGCTATTGCTAGATCCTTCATTGATTATAAAACAACTAAGAAACTTGTCAATAATTTTATTGGGCTTGGATATTCGCCACCCGAATAAATCTCTAAGTATACCACCTTTAGTTCTTGTTTACCACCCCCAACTCTTTGTTACCACCCTATTTGTTTTCCATTAACCTAGCTGTTGTTTCCCATCCCAGCTGTTGTTCACCACCCTCAATACTCGTTTACCACTCACAATACTTGTTTACCACTATCAGCTCTTGGTTAACACCCTAGATGTTGTTCATTAACCCAGCTCCTGTTTATCACCCCCAAATCTTGTTTACTGCCCTCAGCTCTTGTTCACCTACCCTCGGTTCTTGTTAGCCTCCCTCAACTCTAGTTTAGCACCCACAATTCTTTTTAGCCCCCCCCCCCCTAAACTCTTGTTCACCACCCTAAGCTCTTGTTCACCTACCTAGTTGTTGTTTACCACCCTCTGCTTTTGTTGAACTCTTGGTCACCACCCTAGATGTTGTTCATTAACATAGTTGTGGTTTACCACCCTAGGTCTTTGTTTACTACTCATAGGTGGAGTTTACCACCCTCCGTTCCTGTTCACCACCCGCAGTTCTTGTTTACCACTTCCAGCTCTTGTTCACCACCCTCACATCTTGTTTACCACCCCCAATACTTGTTTACCACTCACAATTCTTGTGTACCACCGACAATTCTTGTTAATCACCCTAAGGTCTTTTTACCACCCTCAGCTGTTGTTCAAGCTTTCTTAAACTAATAGGGATTGTCAGGAATTTGCAGAGCCACGTGAGGTTTGTAGGTGACATGAATATCGAGACTAAATTTCATAGAAGTGATTCAAAAAAGTGGTGGCCAAATTGACTTAACACCGGTTGACTATAAATAGCCATCCAATGGGACAGCGATTATCAATTATAAGTAGGTGTTATTTTTGTACATTTTTCTGAAAGGAATTGCAAATAAGCGTTTTTAATGAACATAAAAAAAAACATTATAATGCATGTAACGCTATAGCCTTAACAGCTAATAATGTCAGTCTTCAGAGAAATTAAAGTTTTAAAAACGGGTGGCAAAATAAAAAATGAGGGTGGTGAATAATTGTTTGCCACCCAGGTGGCGAATATCCTCAGCCAATTTTCTTACATCAAAGTGGATTACTGTAATTCATTCAAAATAAAGCTGCCAGAATAATTTCCCTCACTATAGCTCATACTAGTATTACCCCTGACCCTGTATTGTATGACGTCCTCCACTGGCTCCCAATCCCATTGAATTCAAAATACATAAAGAGGTACATAAGTGAAGTAGCGCCCTTTTCCCCAACATATCTTGCCCTGGAGCTCTGAATTATTTAACTTCCCTCATCAAACACTATGAGCCTCTTCGCAATCTCCGTTCAGTCTGTCAGAATTGGTTGGAACCTGCTATTGCTAATAGTTCTTTTAGATGTACAGCTTCGAAACTCTAGAATTCACTCTCACAAGTTCAACGTATGATGTATTTAAGAAAAACTTAAAAATCGAACTGTTCAAAAAGGCTTTCTAAACTATATTTGTATTGTTAGATTAATTGTGTATATTGAGGTTCTTTTTTATTGACTAGACCGTTTTTATGTTATTTCTACCATGCTTGTTATTATGTTAAATGTAGGATGTATTTTAAATTATTATTATTATATGACTGTATCTGCACCACTGAGCTGCTATTCTAGCATTATAAATGCAATAAATTAATATCATTATTATTGCTAACCAGGCCTATCAACTAAGATCTACAGCTCTGTCTCTCCTCTCTACATTTTGATTGAATTAATTTTTTTCATGAGTAATTAACTGGACAATGGCTGCAAAATGCGTCACCTATTTTTGTGTACAATGTTTGATCTATAAAATAAGTCGATAAAAGCATGTATGGATACCCAGTGGTATAGTTATCATTTCTTTGTATTTATCTGTAATATCAAGTCACTATAACTAATGACAATTCCTTCAAAGATCTTTGATTTTCACTGGAATATATTCTAGCAGACGACACTTGGAATTTGGATTTCAGCTTGGGATTATGAGGAAATTTGACTGATATAAAAATTGTGATACTTGGTAATAACTGAAATCCGCCATTTTGTATATGTTAGAATAGATGATAAATTTGATATTACTTTGAAACTATAGGAAAAATTCAACCGATAAATTTGATATTACTTTGAAACTATAGGAAAAATTCTACAGGTTGACGTTGTGGAGATAACCCATGCTATTCAAAACATGCAAATGCAGAGGTCATGCGAGGTTGAACATGTAAATTATTTATCATTTCAGGAAATATGCAAAATTTGGTTTGCACGAAATTAGGTAACTTGACTGTATCATTTTTATGATGATAATTAATTTTTATTGATAATGATAATTTTATAAGAAATAAAAATCAAAAAGGACAGTTTGTGACAAAATCAAGTGACTAATGTTATTCTAATGTATGTATTTTATATTTCTGATAAGGTTTATATTCATGAGGCTAGTCTGGAGACATCTTGACAGTTTTAGTTACAAATTTCCATTAAAGAATTTATATGATTTTTATTTTAGAATACCTTTATTGATTCATTGAGGGTTTATGTTCGTGGTGGAGCTGGAGGTCAAGGTCATCCTAGATTTGGAGGAATAGGAGGTGATGGGGGAAATGTGGTAATAAGAGCCTCAAAAAACACTTCCTTGAAATCAGTATTCAGATTGTACCCAACCAAAAGATTTTCAGCTCCTACTGGAAAAAATAGTCAGTAAGTTACTTGTTTTCTTTGTTAAGAATTTTTTTTCAATTCATTGATTTGTATTTGTTTAAATTGAAATAAATTGTTATTTTTCATCTATTATCCCATATTGCAATGCATATTGGATCTTAGCTTTTGATCAGGTTTGAATTGAATGTATCACCCAAGGTTATATACTAAAAAAAAAACACCATTGCAATCTCTTGATTTTATGATTATGCATTAGAAACGTCAATTGATGATATGACCAAGAACAATAACATGTTATTCAGAATCACATCTTGTATTCTCATGAAATTTAAGTTTATATCCATAAAGAACTTCAATGTATAAAACAATACATGATAATGTTATTTGTAGGAAATATAGACTGCTAGGAGACCCTGGTGAAAATTTGAAAATAGATGTACCAGTTGGTATTAGTGTTCAAACAGATTCTGGTAGAGTTATAGGTAAAAATATATTATGTATTATCAGTTTCTATTGAAGTACCCGATGGATCTTACTACCACATTATTTTATTAATTGGTTATAGTTTTCTATGTCTTGCCTTGTATTTAGGTGAATTGGATACAGAAGGACAAGAGTTAGTGTTAGCTCGAGGTGGAAAGGGAGGTAACCCAGATAATGGATTTTTAGGAAGAAAGGGAGAAAATAGAAGTGTGAAGTTGGATTTAAAACTATTAGCTGACATTGGATTAGTTGGGTAAGATTCTGGTTTAGAGACATTTCATCAATTTTTGGTGTATGAAAATTTCACAGTTGATTCTGAATACTTTCCTCTTATTTTTTGTTGAAACAATAATTTTGAAAAAGATCAAATTTTAAAAAGTTAAGAAACTTTTCTATAACTAGTCAAACAAGTAACAAGAGAAGATTCTAAATAGATTAAACCACTGAGCTACAAGTAATAATAGTCAAAACTCTATTTCAGATTTTTTATCATCTGTTATGAATTGTTATTGTTTTTTCAGATTTCCTAATGCTGGAAAATCCACATTTTTAAGTGCAGTTTCTAGAGCTAATCCAAAAATAGCTGCGTACCCATGTATGTTGAATTCATTTATATATAGAAATCTTACTACATGTAAAATAAATAAAAATCTTGATAAAGCAAGTTATTAAATATTAAATTATTGACAAATACATGCTGCAAAAGTGTCCAGTGTTAGATTATAATATTTAAATGGAAGAATGAGATTTAATGATAACAAGATGAGATTAATCAATATTTGATATTGGCTGAAAGCCAGGTTATATTACAATAGCCAATATATCATGTGTTCAAGTCAAAATTGTGGTTTATCAAACTTGTTTATTTTCTTCAGTTACCACAATACAACCTCAATTAGGAATAGTGGAATATCCAGACTCCAGAAGAGTAAGTACATTTTGCTATTGATCATCAGTTCATTTTTTCTGATTTTCATATCAATTTTTAAGAGTTTGATTTTTGTGTCTACTAAGACTCCTAAATTACATTAGAATTAGCTGGGTTTTTTTTTTTTTTTTTTTTTACTTTGACCCATTTTCATAACTCAGAATGGGGAAGGAGATAGGCTTGACTACTGTTTTTTTACTTGATTCTTTTTAGTTATATTATTCATGGTGTGCTATGCCTACGTATTTATGTCCAGTTCTAATACTAATAGTTCTTTGTGTTTACTAGACCGAAACATCTGCCTATATTCTAGCCTCTGATAGCTATTTTGAAAGTTTCGACTGGTGTAAAGACAGAAAAACTGGACCCTGTTTTATGGAATATTTCCATAGGTTTTAAACCTATATATTTAAATCGGAGCCACCAATCACAGATATATTTTCAGAAAGATAGATATTTTTGTAGCTCAGTCATACAATCATTATCCCCCTACACTAACTATGTACGTCAGTGGTTCCATCAAAGTTTTTTTTTTAATGAAACTGATCTCTTGTTGACCATTGAAAACTGCAAATACAGACATGGTTTAAGGGTCACAGAGCCATGTGATGCTAGCAAAACCAAAATTACGATGATGCCAAACACTATGTTAGAAAAAAACACATCTCCCATAAAACAGAGCCTATTTTTCCTGCCAATAACTGTCAAAATATCTATCAGAGGCTGGAATAGAGGAAGTTGTTTCAGACTAAGTGTTGACAAGCAATTAATATGTATGGAATTGATTGTTTCAAAACTAGTTGTTTGTCATCATTGCAGATTTCCATAGCAGACTTACCTGGACTTATTGAAGGTGCTCATGACAATTTTGGTATGGGACACAGATTTCTTAAACATATTGAAAGAACCAAGTTACTCCTCATGTTGGTAGATATAAATGGATTCTCTCTTGGTGTTAAATATGATTTAAGAACAGCATTTGAAACTATCCTATTACTAAATAAGGTTTGTACAAATTACATCGCTTCGAATTTGATAATGATGGTTGACATAATGTTCCTGTTCTCACTATTGCTATTGTTATATTTTTGTATATATAACTTCTTGTACCATATTTCTTCACTTCACCTGAAGATGACAATGTAGATTGTTGAAACGTCGTGTGTAATAAAACTAAGGAGTAGTATACCATAAAATTGTGTTCCGTTTTTTTGAGTTGCTGAGTAGTTGTGAAAAATGTAACTCTTTCAATTGCAATTACAATAGCTTACAGAAGTTTAACATTGCTTCTTTAATTTAATTAATATATATTATACAAACTGATGTTCATTGTTATACCAAATTACTAAATCTTTGTGTATTTCTAGGAACTGGAGTTATATATGACTGATTTAACGGATCGGCCAACAATTTTAGTTTTAAATAAAATAGACACAGACTCTACATCAGAATCTAAAGCAGACAAAATCATACAAGATGTGAAAAATTTACCTGAAACACTGAAGAATGTTGATAATGAACTACATCCTAAATCATTATTGAAATTTGATGATATTTTCACTATTTCTGCCAAGGAAAAGTTGGGACTAGAATGTGTCTTGTCATGTATTAGAAACAGACTGGATTATTATGCTGAATTAAAAAGAACTGAATCAGACAGAATCAAGGGTGATGTGGTAGAGGAAATATTTGACAAAAGATTGGTGTAAATATTGTACTCACAAAATAATATGGAGAATTTTATTTTGAACTTCGCTACAAGTAACTAAAAAACTGTTATTATTAGTGATGAGCAATCAGACGGAAATAATAATCATTTAATTAATTGAAATAATCGGAGAGGCATAATCAATTATGTAATCTATTAATAATCAAAACACACCCCATTTAATGAACACGTACTTGTTTTAAGGCTTTATAAATTAATTTATAAATCATGCCTCATTTTTTTCTGTGCCGAATCTAAGGCTAGTCCTCGAGAAAAATTAATTAAAGGTGTGACAAATTATCAGGGTCTCATTGTTTTAGTCACCTTATCTTATAATAAGTTATGTTAAATTCATTATCAGAAAAACAACAGGACTGACTTTAGGTTGAGAATCGATTAGTAACATTGCTGGACTTTCAACGACTGATAATCGATTGTCGCCGGCAATTGGAACATCACTAGTTGTCATTTATATTAAATATGTAAAAAGGACTACATTTATACCTCTCTGAGACTATGAATTTAAGATAACGTGTTCTTTTAATTATATCACTTTAGAATAAATAGTATTTATGCTAAAACTTATTTGTCATCTAATCCTTGAATGGCGCATATTTAGTAAAAGTGATTGAAAATATATATAATCCACTTTTTATAGCGTATATTGTCATCACACTCGTCGGTCTGTTTGTCCACAATTCCTCATAAACACTTTAGAGTGCACAATTCTTGACTGATTTTGATGAAACTTAGTATGGTTGTTCGTATTGTAATCACTCATAGATGAACCCTATTGAAAATAAGAAAATGGAAAAATATTTAGTATGAGTTAATGCCCTTGTTCTTGAAATGCTTGTTAACACTCCAGAAGGCACAATTCTTGACGGATTTAGATGAAACTTGGTATGGGTGTTAGTAATACCAGAGGATGAACCCTATCGAAAATCATAAAAATCGAAAAACAATTAGTTATTGCCTTTGTTCTTGAAAATGCAATCAATATTTAGTTTATAAACGCTGTAGAAGGTTGAATTATTGACCGATTTTGTCGAAACTTGGTGTGAATGTTTGCATGTACCTTATTTAAAATTTAAAAAATTGAAAAATAATTAGTATGAGTTCTTGTTCTTGAAAACACGTTCAATATATATATATATATATATATATATACAATATATATATATATATATATACAATATATACATATATATATATATATATAAAAGAGACACATTTCTCATCAGAGGAAATGAGGTTTCTATATTATAACTCATTTGGATGGATGGTTTTAGTGGCTTCAATATTAAGGTGGAAGATTATCTGCTAATTAAAAGTCCAACAAATCACTTTCAGATATGGGGACCACAACACTGATGTAAGTATTTACTTGGACGTGAAGTCCACGCTCTCTCCCTAATATGTAAAGTAAAATGTAAATAATCAATGAGCTGAATTAAGTTGAATGTATTTCATTATATTTACAAATAAAGCCATCTTTTAACAGTATTCAAAACAATAATTAATCATCTTTAACCTTGGCCTTTTAAGGTAACATTGTTCGAAACTACATCGAAAAAAAAAGCGGCAAACTGCACACAATCAGTTTTTAGGACAATAAATAAAGGGTATAAATAAAATACACAATATACATAAATATTTTTTAAGAAAATAAATATCACAGCCTTTGGATTATATATAGATGTAAATGTGATAAAAAAAAAAAGTTTAAAACATAGTTTAGGGTTTTTTTCCATGGTGATATAATCCAGGTGTACTCTAGTTGTGAATTAAAAACCTTTTATATCACTGTAGAAAAGGAGTTCAGATCTAAACCTTATTAATGCTGCTTACATGAACACACAATAGTCTGGTAACTTACACCTAATTCTTAGCAGATTCATACACACCATGTCCTAAATCTCCTTTCCTAGCAATTTTATCGGATTTAAAGTTGTCAAAAGCTTCACCTTCTTGATTCTTTGTTCGGAATGTCTGAAGGTTGGGTTTTGCAGAATTTTTGAATTTTGGAAGTTGCCATAATGGACCTGATTCAACAGGATTTTGATAGGTTCTTAATAAGGATGCTCTTGTTTCATAAACCACACCAGAATGCCTTTTCTTTGTATTTTCCTTCTTTTTTGCCAATTCATCTTGTTCTCTCTGTTGCAGCCATTTGTCTTGATATTTATGCTCTAAAAGATCAAAGATGGGGGTGGAAGGTCTAGTAGAGATTCCGTACACCATGCTGGGAGGCTGACGTCGTGGTCTTGGCTTGCTCTGTGTACCAGCTGGCTTTCTTCTTACATCATTGGTAGCTCTGTAAGCATAATTTTCACCGGAATTAACTATACCAGAGCTCACAGCAATTTTGTTCAACTCTATAAAATCTCTTTCACTTGGCTTTTCCTTTCTATGGAATGGTAATGTTGAGATTTCTGTGGTTCCCCAACCTCCTAAAGCCTCTGAAGCTCCAGAACATCCTTTTTCATTGGGTCGTCCAAAAGCATCGTATCCACTATGTTCAATATTGTAACCTCTTCGCTTTGGCTTACCAAGTTCTGATCTCAACAAAAGTTCATTGTTCAACATAGAATCACGTTGTACTCCCAAAACTCCAGTAGCTGTGTTGAAAAAAGGATTCTGTACACTTGCAGCCATTTTAATAATATTTTGGTCTCACTTGTATATATTCAAATGAATTTCTGGTGACTTGTTTTCCGAGTAAATAAGCAAAATATTCGAAGCCTGACAAGGTATTGTTTTCCTAAGTGACAGATTGTCAACAATATAAGCCGTAACCATGGAAATTCCGTCACGCCCCCTAGTGGAATATTGATTAGAGTTATCCCGCCGTCGCTTTCTTTGTCTCGGTTTACATGACTTAAAATCTGTAAACGACTTTGACTTAAAAATGACGATGATCCTTAATTTTTAATCGACATTGAAAATTAATATTTTAGGCATAATGATAAGGCATTATTAAAACTGCATGTTTATTAGCATTTGAAAGAAATCATCATTTATTTCAGTCCACAAGTGAATTTTCTCCACATAAGATCAATGAGTGGTCAACGTGTAAAAAAACTGCCCAATCATTACACGAGTATTTTAACCGGAACTAGCTCTTTCGCTTTAGAGGTAAAGAAGGTTGTACGTTAAGAAATTATTTGTTATTTTCCACAAAAAATGAAATGAAAACCAGTTGATCATCAGTTTGAGAATGGCAGAGGCGTCAAACGAAGAAGAAAATTATATTCTCCATGTTGTTGTTGTTGGATTTCATCATAAAAAGGGATGTCAGGTGGGTTTATGCTCCAGATCTCGGTAAAATAGATCAACATGATCAAAGTAAAAAAAGCAAACAAGTTTTGTGGGTGGAAAGGGCAATGATGAATAGCATTTAAATACCATTGGATTTTAAAATCTTAATTTGCAGAATATTCATAAAATTCATATCGAGAGATTTTTTACTCTGATTGTTGGCAGAATGTCTGAAAGTCACAACTAACTTAAAACATAGCTTAAATCCATAATCTAGTCTCATTAGAATTATTCCAACAAACTTTCTTTCCATTTTAGCTTTATTATCTATCTCCATGCAAAATTTTCATCAACAAAAATGTTGTAAATTATACCTCAAAAATTTCTAAAGTATATTAAGCAGTTTGACCTAGTTTTGGTGTTGGCTTTATAAATGGCTTGATATTACAGTCAAGTAACCAAATTTCATGCATCTCCAGAAATGATTAATAATTCACATGTGCTGCCTCGAGTGACCTCGGCATTTGCATCTTTTGATAAACATGGGTTACCTCTACAACGTCAATCTGCAGAATTGTTCTAGTCGTTTCAAAGCTACATCATATTTATTATATAACATAAGCTTAAATACAAAATGGCGGATTTCAGTTAGTACCAAATATCACAATTTTTTATCGGCCGAATTTCCTTATAATCCCTAGCTCTAATCGGAATTTCAAGTGTTGTCTGCTAAAATATATTCCAGTGAACGAAGTCACGTGAAAATTCTATGGAACACAATGTGGGCCATATTCTTATGTTGTTTCAATGACTTTTAGCAATAAATCACGCTACATATCTTATTTTGTCAGTCACTAGGTTTTTTTTTTATATTATTGTTCTTTGAAGAAATTTTAAATAGTTGACACATTTTGCAGTCGTTGTCGAGGTGGTCAGAGTGAGGGATTATTTAAGAAAATTGGAAATAAACCATTTTGATTATTTTATAGGATATCTGAGGAAACATCTAAGACATAAACAAAATCTGTTTTTTGATTTTGACGAAATTTGGTGTTGAATCCTTATTGCAGGAATATATGTTACACCACTGTATTATTTGAAACCTTTAGAATGTATAGCAGACATATGTCTCTACAATTAGGTTTTTATTTTCCTTAGATCCTTTTAATAGTTTTTAAAAAGCTTCCCTAAATCATAACCAACTTAAAACGTTTACATTAACTTTGTAAGAGTTGTGGCGTATAGTTTTCACATATGGGAGCTTTCAAATATTTTACTCTTTCTTACTGGTTCATTTTCTTTTTTTAAAATAACCAGGTTGAATATTCTTACCCACCTTTGATAGAAGGAAATACAGTTGAAAGCCATGAAATTCCTAAAGAATGGAAACATCTCCCATCATTAGCCTTACCAGATGGGGCTCATAATTATGTCAAAGGTATGTTTTTTCTTTATGACTTCACATTTCTTACTTTCTGTTCCTTATGGAGGTTGTTTTGTTTTTGGTTTATTTGTTGTGCTTATTGTTTTTTTTTCAAATGTTTCAATTTTTTTTATTAATTATACACAAATAATAATAAATATGAACAAAATTATGATAAATGTAAAGTCTTTAATGTTTGGTATAATAATTGATTTTGTCTATTATCTATTCTAGATACTGTGTATTTCCACCTACCAGGCAGGAAAGAGAGTCGGAAGACAGTTTATGGTGTTTCATGCTACAGACAAATGGATGCTAAGGTATTCCATATTTCTTATTATGAGTCCATCATTTATTTACCCCCATTTCACCATTTATTAAACCATTCCTTATGCATTTGTTGTTCATGTTAGAAGACTTCATAACTATGCAGATTGTGACAGTATTGTTGTCCACTAGTCTTGTTTAATGGGTTATTAGAACTAACTTAGTACAATTAATCTCAAGATAGATTTAAATGGAAGGTTGAAGAAGATGTGGATGCAAATAGAACAGAGTTTTTAAAATATAATCCTTTTTTACCCATTTAATCCGAATCTCCAGTTTGATGATGGTACAATAGTCACTGTAGATTTCTATTGCTGTAGGTTCAGTTACTGCCCTTGACCAATTACACCAAATTGGATTGGAACTTGATTTTTGTTAAGTCATTCTGACTAAATATGTCAAAATTTGGATTAGAGAAGTTTTGATTTATAAATGAATATTTGTTTTGTTTTATTACCAAATATTCCAGAAATATGCTTAATAGATCTTGATGTAAATATTTCTATATGACCAATGTAAATAGGCTTTTATATTTTTTAGTATTGATGACTTTGTTGGTTTTTATTAAATTTTAGGACTTGAAGAATAGAGGAGCTGATGTTACTAGAAGTACTGTACAGAAAAGTGTCTGTGTTTTAAGTAGATTGGTAAAAGGATTTATATTTTTTCTGAATAAATAGGAAACTTGATCTTGATAAATGTGACCTATTTTTTGTAATTGCTGGTAAATTATTATAAATAGGTCAAGTATTAAAAAGTTTAAACTGTAATGACTGGAAATGACAAATTTATTTGATTTCCTTGTTTCCTCCTTAGCCAGTAGTGCAAAATGAAAGTTTTTATACGCCCACATGGAAATGTGGACGTATATTGCCGTCGCCCCTGTCCGTCCGTCGGCCGTCCGTCCGTCCGTCCGTCCACATTTGTTGTATGCACGATAGAGGCTACAGTTTTTATCTGATCTTGATGAAACTTGGTTTGCATTTGTTTGCAGTTCGAAATTGGTAATAATCGGATGAACGGTTTCAGAGTTATTGCCCTTGACTTAGTAAAAACGCGTTAAATTTGACTTGTATGCACGATAAAGGCTACAATCTTTATCTGATCTTGATGAAACTTAGTATGCATGTATATATTGATGAGATCTTGGTCAAGTTCGAAATTGGTAATAATCGGATGAACGGTTTCAGAGTTATTGCCCTTGACTTAGTAAAAACGCGTTAAATTTGACTTGTATGCACGATAGAGGCTACAATCTTTATCTGATCTTGATGAAACTTAGTATGCATGTATACATTGATGAGATCTCGGTCAAGTTTGAAATTGGTAATAATCAGATGAACGGTTTCAGAGTTTTTAGCCTTGACTTTGTAAAAACGCATTAAATTTGGCTTGTATGCTTGATAAAGGCTGCAATTTTTATCTGATCTTGATGAAACTGAGTGTGCATGTATATATTGATGAGATCTCGGTAAAGTTCAAAATTGGTAATAATCGGTCTCAGAGTTATTGCCCTTGACAAATTGCTTGGTATGCCCAATGAATGCTACAATTTTGATATCATCTTGATGAAACTTAGTATGCATAAATACATTGATGAGATATCAGTCAAGTTTGAAGTTGGTAATAATTGGATGAACAATTTCAGGGTTATTGCCCTTGACTTAGTAAAATTGGCTTTTAGGCAGGCTATAGACTACAGTTTTTATCCGAAATGGATGAAGCTTAGTATGCATGTATATATGGACAAGATCTCAGTCAAGTTGAAATTGGTAACAATCGGGTGAACGGTTTTGGAGTTATTGCCTTTGAATTAATTCAATGCGTCTAATTGGCTTGTAGACCTGATAGACACTACATTTTCTATACGATCTTGATGAAACTGGGTATGAGATCCCTGTGAAGCTTGAAATTAGTAAAAATAGGATGATTGGTTTCACATATTAGACAACTACAGACTTTGTTACTTTGTTATCATTTCTGACAGCTGATAGTGCGCGTATGTTACCTTGCCTGTCAAGCTATCTTTAGGTTATGTTTAATGAATGTATTAAATGATTTTTTTTTATTGATTTTGTGTATAAGTGTTGTAGGCTGCAGGACAGCTCAGGTATCAAATTCAATTAGAGCCATGAACAATGTATTAAATTTATTATGGTTAAAACAGTATTATATTCAAATGAACTTTTTCTTATTATCAATAATTAATTAATAAATCAAATAGTAGACAACCAAAAGTACAATATCAATTCCAATCACTACAAAATGTCACATCAATACATTTTAAGTGGTGAAATTTAAACAAAAAGGGTTAGAAACATCTCATCAATTTATTAATTCATTAATTATTCAGAATTGAAGAATTACTCGCTTTTGATTTATTAATTGACTGAAAGGATCAATTCCCTACCCCCACCACAGTCATAACATTATACATGATGGTATAAGTTCTCCTATAGGTAGAAGGCAAAATGGAATTATATATTTTGTACTGTTATTTATATTTTCAGCCATTGTATGGGTTAATTAAAGCAAAGTTAGAATTGATAACCCATGCCTATTTTGATGAATGTGATTTTAGTAAAGTTGAATTGTTAGAACAGACTTATAACAATATGAAAACTTGTATATCTAGTAGTATGGTAGATGGGTCAAGTTTATTCCTTGGTGAGTTGAAATCTTTGAACACTACTGCTTATAGCACCCATTGCTCACACCATTGCTCTCCTTTCAATTATGACATGTATAAAACTGTTTATTGTGTATTGAATATTTGTAAAAGGTTTAAGATTTTCATACTATGATAATAATAGACAAAGTCATAGCTAATCACATAAAATTTACTTCCCTCCTAACTTCTTGTTGTCTTTTGTAGGTCTGTCATCAAGAGATGTTGTGTTATTGTTTAAGCATAAAATTGTTTTGTTATTTAAACTCATTTTACTAGAGAGAAGAGTAAGTTGTTGTTTGAGCTCTGGTTTTTCTTCTCAGTATGTAACAGTTCATTGCAATTTTTTATTTGCTTTGTAATTAAGTTGATTTCAGCTTCCAATTAATCAACAAGTTGTTGTCTAGCAAGATACGCTTCTTCCCTAATATCCTATGAAAACTGTAGTCAAAACAAATTTTGACATGTTTTTACTACTTCAAGGGCAATAATTCAAAAACCCTTGGTCGAAAAATTGTCAAATTTAAATTTGACCAAGATCTCATCAATATAGATGATCACACCAAATTTCATTAAAATCAGATGAAAACTGTAGTCATAGTGTTTACGAATAAAGTTTGACAAGTTTCTACTAAGTCAGGAGCAATAACTCAAACAAAGTTTATTGCAAAATCGTCAAATTCAAACTTGACCAAGATCTTATCATAATAGATAATAATAATGAATTTTATTAAAATTAGATGAAAACTGTAGTCTTTTTTGTGTTCACAAATAAATTTTGGCATGATTTTACATAAAAAAAAATATTCATGTAACATTATTAGAATCTGATTTTCTCTGCTATCTCTGTAGGCAAGCTTGTAAACTTAACACAATTTCTTCAATCTTAATTTGACTTTTGAATGGGATATAGCATCTCAATATTAGCTTTACTAGTTGATAGAGCATATTTTCACCTATCATATAAACATGTCCATAATATCAGCACCTCAAAATTTTAAAAATACCAAGTTTTTGGAGAACCTGATGTGGTGTTTTCATTCTGAAAAGTGATATAGATCGCTCTAGTTTAATAACATGTATTTAGATGATGTTCTCCCAGTTGACTTGAATAGGAGGTAGAGATTATCTAGATAGAGATTATCTTGTTATATTTTGTAGGTGTTGTTATATGGGTTACCAGTAGAAAGTTTAGGTGGTTTACTTCTATCTATTCTCTCACTATACCCAGGTTAGATTTAATATATTATTATTGAAATAATATTTACTTTGAGATCAGCAAATCTATGAATTCATTTCCCAAGAAAATACATACAAATTTTAGAAAATTTACATGCCCATGATTTCAGCCTACCAAATGGTGGGGAGGAAGGGTAGTATACTTGCCTGGGGCTTTTGAAAATTGGAAGACAAAGCTACTTATATCCTGGTCATCTTTGCCACAATTTCTTGAGTTTGCTAAGAACAATGTTAATCTGAATTATTATGTAACTTGTTTGTATAATTGCAGTCTGATTAAAATCAAAACCAACTTTCCTTCCGTTTTTTTATTAGCTTTTATTTTGTAATATAGCCACTTCAGTTAGGGTCTAAAGACTGCTGCACTTTTTTAATTGTATAAATTTGTGTTTTATAAGGTATGTTAGAGCATGGTTTAGATGAAGCTGTTAGTAAATCAAGTCAGAAAGTTTCATCCTCTGATGTTAATATAACTGGTAGTGATATGGATTCTTCTGATGGTTATTTAGAAATAAGTTATACCAACAAGGGAAACGACTCTCTTAATTCTCTCAATAATGTGCAATCAAGGACATCCAATTATAGTATAGATACAGAGCCAGAATCACCAACCATTCCAAGAGACGATGCTTTTTCCCGTCATTCCACTTCAACACCAAAAAAAAATATTCAAAATGAAAATCATGATGAGGCAATTCCCACTGTTCACACTTACCATAGTGACAAGGTCAAGACACCCTCAAACTCTTCAGATGTTGTTCAAAATGATTCGAATCCAAAACCATTGACAAACGGTAATATCAATGTGACAAGTGAATTAAGTAGTTCTCCTAAGTCAGAACTTGTGTTCACAAAAGAAAGTAGTCCCTTGCAAGATTTAACAAGTATTACCCATGTTGAGGCAATCCAGACAGAATCTGAAGACCAACCACTCAAAGAAAATGTCAAGGAGGAATGTCGTTCTTTTGTTCCTGCCAAAAGTGATTTAAGTTTATCAATATTGAAACAGTCCTCTTTAGATCGTACACCAAGTATTGAAGATTTAGACTCGCCTGAAAGTATCAGTAAGATAGATCGTGAAGACTGTTTCTCGTGGGAGGATGACCGTCTGCTATTGGCAATAAATGATGAAATTGAGGCAAAAGATTCCAAGTCAAATGATGAACCTAAAACTACTGTTGATAATTCTCCCATAGCGGGAGAATCTTCAGGAAGTGAATCACTGTCATCTAGTCGTCCAAATAGTCCTGGTATGAAAAAGAGAACACGTTTTAAGAACAAGTTTTCATCAGCATTTGGCAGTCTCCATTCAAAGTCCAAGAGTAAAGTTGAAAGTGGACAGTTAGAAATGAAACCTCTTTATGAAGGACCAGAGTTAAAACAAGATGGCTATGGATTTCCTCTTGCTATTTTTACAAGGGTAAAATCATTATTTTAGTTTTGTCATGTGCTAACTCTTTTCATGTGTTTTGTATTGGAGGTAAATATTCATTTAAATTGTAAAACTTTATTTTGAAAATGGTTACTATAAATGGGGATTTTATCATCGTGTCCAAACCACACCCCCATTTGTCATGCTTTCTCAAGTCTATGGTAACACAAGTGAGAGAAATTACGTATTTATAGATATTGTCTAATCAAATTGGCCCTAGAATCTTTTTAGGAAATATCAGTCAATCAAATTAAATCACTCATGATGCTTTGTTCGCGAATGTAAACACAATGAAAGCAGTGTGTCATTAAATGTTTTGATTGATATAAACTTTACAGAATAAAGTAAGATTTTCGGTAAAGAAATGAAGTTGATTAAAATCAAACCTTTGGAATATTTACTTTGGAAGATGAAAAGAATGTGTTCCTATCTCTTCAAGCGAGTGGTTGTGTTTTGTTTTCCCGACCTAATTTCCTTTCTTCCAATCTGATTGGTCAGATTTAAATAGCACAAATCTCACATCCACACCCACAAACTTAAGTGCAGATTTAACATATGTATGAAGATATAAAGATTGAAATTTGTGTATTTTCAGGGTACAGTTTGTCATCCATATTTAAGCTTACAGTACCATGATATATTGCATGATATAACTATTCGAGGTTTCCTTATTGGTGCTACTAATATATTATTTAAACAGCGTAGAAATCTTCTAGATGCTATTATTGAGGTTTGTAACTCACTTGAGATGATCTATATTCAATATGATATCTTGTCTTCAATGTATTACTCACTAAATATTAGATTTCCTTTTTTTCTCTCTTTCACATTTGGAAGAGCTGATATCAAAACTAGCATTTTAGAAGTTGCTTTTTAGTCATTTTAATGTTAGGACTTCCTTTCATTGCAAAGCGCAGTATTCACTAAGTGATGTTTTGTTCAACAATCAACAGGAACTGTGAGCTGAGTTTAGATTTGTAGTTTGAATACCCCTAGAATGTGAGTAAGTTGTGTCCCTTTTAATAAGGTTTTAGAGTAAAGCAATGTAACATATTAAGATCAGTGTGAAAATTCTAGCCAGAAATTTATTTGTTAAAAAGGTAAATGAAGGTAAAATAGAAATACAAGATAAAGAATTACAGAAACACCTTCACCTAACAACGGCAGATTTGAGATTTGGTGAATATATAGTGAAAGCTGTGACGGAGGATTCTGATAAAGATAATAGTTTTGATAATACAGGTGGGTCTGGCTTGTCTAATTTATGGATTAAACAGAATACAGTACCTTCAAGTGTTTCAAACACCAACAATGATCGTGGTCAAATAAGGACTCTATATTTTGATTCTGAAAATTGCTACAGATAAGCTGGTAATGTAAATATATAACTTAATTACACCTTATAAAGTGAACTACTGAATCCAAGTCTTACCCTTTTGTTTATTTTGTAGAATGGGAAGGAGGAGATGAATGGATTCGTGGTCAATTTCGACTTTATATACTATCAATGTTAGCTACATTATTACAAGATGGTAAGTTGGAAATATTATTTCAATATTTGTACAACTGACTCTTTTTCTACATTTTATTGACTAATATGGTATAAAAATAGGTAGGGAGTAGGATTGTCAAGTAACAAAGTAGAAAAAAAACAACTGTTTGATTAAGAACAATACATGATTTTACAATTTTAAGTAGTAAATTGTGTATTATGTTAATAATAGATAATAAGTTATTAGAAGATTTTGGTACAGTATTTATAACTGCCTGGAAGACAACTAATAACTACAGATACTGGAATTCAACACAACATCCTTTATTATCTGATATACCAGTAGGGTAAGATTTTCAAACTGAATATTAACTCTATAGGTCCAATAGCATGAAATAGTATGAAAAACTTGGTCATATTTTTAGCATATTAATTAACTCTCCAGACATCATGAACTTTTCTGGACAGAATTCAATTGAAAAAATTTCCATTGTTTTTTTTAGGCATCCATTTCAAGGTCATATGAATATGAATGATATTAAAGTTCGGTTAGCTCAGTAAGTTGTTTTTGTCTTGTATTAACCTTGTCAATAATTCAGTTTGTCACATGATCAATTCATTTACACAACAATATTGCTATTTTGACCAACATAATACAGTTCTTGTAATTATATTCAGATCTATATCAGATATATTTTTATCAATAAAATTTCACTGTTTTTTATGTTCGGATATTCTTAGATTGTGTCATTGTTGTGCTTTGACGACGTCATAGTGTCATGAGACAAACTGCAGTTTATTGAAAAATAAACTCCATTTTACGTTACTGGTTCATTGAAGGAGTGATAATAGAAATGTAAATAGATATTACCAGATAATGCCTTTAAAAAAGAAATAGTATGTCATATTAGATTGCTAGGTAATTAGGTGTGATATGCTTGCTGTCCAAGATAAGCTAGTACAATCTAGGGACAAAAGGGACAGTCTGATTTTTGCCGCATGAAATGTAATAATTTAGTAATCATAACTAAATTCTGACTTTGTCCTTTGAATTTTTATTAAAGTACTATGCAAAGTACTGATAGAGGGAAGAAAATCAATGCAGCTGTTGTACAGACAGGAAAATATGTTGTAGAAACTGGTAAAGCTGTTGGTGAGTGTAATTAATAACAATTGAGATGCCATAAATTCAAACTTATTGCTATTGGGTACAATTCTGAAAATTCAGACATTAAATTGAAACATGCTTAAAGATGGGTTCCCTTATTTTCATTTATGAATGAAAATGAATATCATATGAATTGAAGGTAGAGATGTTCTAATGAATTGGAAAATACCAGTTTGTCTTTGTAATTAAAAATTAGCTAAATTAGAAGAGAATTACCAGCAGAATTCTATGGAGTGACCGATCAAGAAAAGTCAAAAACTCTTTTTTTGTATATCAAGACTGTACGTACATGGACATTTGTTATTGGTAAAAACTCTTGCAAGAAGAACATAATGATATGATTAAGGGCCGTTCTTACCTTGACTAAAGTTGAACTTTGGCTAAAGTCGAACTTTAGAAAGATAAGATTAAGGCTTTCATTTTCTATATTTGATAGTCAAATTTAAGCACAACTTTCGACTTAAGTCTAACTTTAGTCAAAGTTTAGGTAAAGTACGAGCACTGCATATGGCTCTAAGAACAGATGATAATTCATTAGAAACACCAATTAATCAAATAGTTTGCTTAATTTGACGCTAAAAATAAGGAAAGCATCTTTAAGAAGACAACAACTTCTCCAAGACAGCAGGAAAATGAAATCCATTTGGCTTGTTGTAAACATTGTATGATGTTCTTGTTCATAGAACAGTAATTTGTCATTTACATTTTCAGGTGGGGCATTGAATAATGCCAAGTCAGCTGTATCATCATGGTTTAGTAGTTGGAGAACAACATCTAATGACAAAACACCTTCTAACTCAACAGATAATTTACAATCCTTGGCTTCAGATAATACAGTCAACGAAGTTAATACTAACACATAGTATTGTCTTCAGAAAGAAACTTTTTATCTTATGGTCCTTTCAGAACCACTTAACTCTTGGCTAATGCATTGGGAACCTTTTCTCTGAATTTTCAGCCCTCCATTCTTCTAGGTGAAGGTTGTGTTCTTTCATCCTTAATGTACAAATTAGAGTGAGATAATATGTTGACAGTGTTAGAGACTGTATTACAAGTACTAGTGATATTATCTTGTTATTTTCTACTTAATAATGATTGTTGTGGAATTATTCTTTCTCTATGTCAAATCACTATATTTTTCTATTTTTAGAAATGCTATTAAAAGTTATTAAAGGAAATGTTCCAGATATAATTTGTATATAATTTGATTGATATTCTGGCTTCAAGCCATGCTAATAAATCATGTAGGAGGATTATGATGTGAAAAAAGTGGGATTGAATATTGCTCCTTTAAACTGTTGTTGCATATTTAAAGGAAATATCTATTTTTGTTATCTTTTTAAAATGGAAAATAATATGACACTTTTTTGAAGATTATGCATTTAAGTACTAGCTAAATTACATATTTATCAGTAGCATAATTTTGTTTCCTTTTTATTCATGCATAATGATATTTTAAGCTTTATCTAGCATGAACTTGTATGGTATGCAACCCTATGTTTTTTTTTTTACAATATTTATAATAGAATGAATATACTACTAATGCAATATTTGTATTTATTAACTATCTCTTGTCACAATTGATTAATGCTTATGTTATTAATGTAACAGCTCTGTTCTATTATTTATAACTATGTGATTTCAACTATTCTCACTTCACTATCAATCTGCGCCATAAGATGTATTTCACTAATCAAGTTCGCCTTCTTTAAGTCACGTGCAATGTAGCACAAAGCAAGTAAACCTAGCCATTCTGTCTTCCGACTACTGTCCTGTTAACACCTTGAAGTCTTGTCATGGTTTTCTACATAAAGTCTTACTATTAACCTTGAGTTGTTGTTGATCAACGTGGAACGGGTTATGTCCTAACTAACTGGCGCTGATTCAAGTTCAGTTGGGTTTTTTTTCATTTTGGAAATTCTACATGAAAATTATGAAATAAGAGAAAAATTCATGACAGAGACTGAAGTTGTAATGATTAGTGTGATCAATAAACTGGTCTGCTATTCCATCAAGCAGGTATTTCTCTACCAACATACTTCTTTTGCAATTTAGAAATTATAATATTATTACCTCCCTTGATGTAAGCAAATAATGGTACTTTTGTGGACCTCAGACATGTTTTTTTTTAAATTGAAAATAATTTGAAATTAATGTTGCTTTTCAATTGTTCTTGTTTAAATATTGAAACACTATCAGCTATCTTTGATTTGAGTAGATCAAGACATTTGAGGTGTTTCTCATATAAGATGAACAGTTTAATTTATTATTTGATGGAATAAGTGGAGTAGACATAATGTGGTGCTACCTTCTTCACTTAATATCATTGTCATTAATTTCTTTGTTACTGAATATTTTGAATTCCTGTTATTATAGGCTACAGTTTAATGTGGAATAAATTTTACTCTTAATTTATATCTATTCTGTCTTTGACCTTCTCTGTCAGTCTGCCCAACAGTATTCACAATTGTTATGTTGATATATAGCGTGGCTTTCACATGAAATTTTCAATTCGATGGTCGCCATAGCCGCCATTGATCGCCGAGTCCAGTGTTTGTTTTTAGCGCATACGAATATAACATAAATGTTAGGTGATCTGTTTTGTAACACATTCAGAACGCATGGAATCGCGAAGATCATTAGATAAGCACAGTTCAGCCATGGCTACATTTGCAGTCTCACCATGACTCTCGAGTTTCTGACACGATACTTTAAGACGTTCTTTGGGATAATCAATATTGCGCTCTCATTGCGCTGGTAGTTCTTAATACGACTAGGGACCGACTACCGAGCTCTCACCATAATCCTTAGATGATATAGGCCAACATGAGATTTTAACATTATACAGATATTTGGTTACTTGTTCCAGCAATATAATCTGGATATCTGTCGTCCAATTTTGTTTAATTGATGACAGAGCTATACGTGACGCCCTGTTCAAAAAATTAATAAATATAATTTCCTGACATGCAGGTCAATTCTTCAAGAGGTCACCGAAATCCCTTTTTTAACACTTGTCAATTGGTACAGTCGCGTCCATCTCTTTTCATGATTTTAGATATTCAAAATGTTATGAAAACAGTGCTGAATCATATTTTTATTTCCCGTCTTCACAAGGTGAACGCAGATAAGTTGTGATAACGTCCTTTTTTCATTGTGCTACTCAACTTTATAGCGTATTTGGGAAGCTAAATTCATTTTAAGGCGCCAATTACCATACACTATAATGGATGACTCGTGTTTCGAATTACTACCATATTCTACCAAGAAAAATTCGAATCAGATCTTCAACCATCGAGTATATCATTCATTTCTCTTTCTGATTTCAAACAACAGATTAGCTAATGCCATATAGAACTCATTTTGTTAACGCACAAAACACTTATTTTCATATAATGATCTTTGAAGGGCACATCTGGGCCTTCACGTCTGCTAGCAACAGTGGCGGCGCCAGCAAGGCCATTTGTACCACGGATTGCAACCCCACTCCCATTTCTAAATTTGAAATTCAAACGTTCTTGCTAAAAAAATATATGCCAGAATGCACCAAATCAATTCTTTTTTCAAAGTATTTTGTATGGAAAACCCTCTCAGACACTCCATTGGAGACCGGTGCCAATGGCGCTTCCACAGAGCTGCAGCATCGACAGTTGTTCTTATTTAATCAATCTACCACCTATTTCTACCAATTGTATCCCCTGTATCGGTATATTCTGGCACTGTAGTAACATAAAATTTTGCGTTCAGTATAAGTTTAGTTTTACTGGTTCTTAAAACTGTAACTATCTCCACTTTAATATGGGTCGGGCTTTAGGCAGGACAACAATAAAGGCTATCAAGTATTTAAATGTTTTGGATACAAAAGTATGTAACTACAACAATTTTGTTTCTGTACAGAAGAATATATCTAATCTATAACATTGACCTGCATTTTACATATGTCACGTTTCTTTTACCATTAACATAATAATTATACCTAGGCTATTTAAAATCCTTTCATGATCATTTGTTCAAATCTTTCTCAATATTATAGCAACAATTTTTTGTTCCAAGCAAAATACGTTCATAAAAGATTACTTCCTCTATTGTCAAACAATGATTTTCACAATATTAACAGAAATGTAAACCTTTGACAAAAGCAGACATGATTGCATAACAATTCTTAATATTTTGAATCGGGCGTTCTCTCTCTTGAATGGGTGTAGATAAAATATTAGAGAGATCAATTTAACTATTGAAATTTTACCTCCTTTAGGTAAATTTAAAGTGTTGTAGCTCTTCCAGTTGTCAACAAATTTTCACAAAACTTGGTACATATAGGTATAAGATCCTGTTTGCACACATTTGACATAGAGCAATTTTTCATTAATTTGTTTTTTTTTTTCAAATGTTATATGTTTGAAGGTTTTTAATTGATTTCATGATACTGTTTTGTTTTACTCACCAAATGCTTTAGTTGGACTGATCCAATATCTTTGTAAATATTATAGTCGTTAATAATAGGAAGAATTTAACCACATGTCTCTTTCCTTATAGATAATCGTATTTGCTTCCTTACTTCCTTAATATTCAATTTCCCTGATATTAATTCAAGTATTATATCGACGTTCTATGGGATACCACTGATCTTGAATCAAAATAACATGGCTATAATATAATATAATTGAAAAAATATATATGACAATATGACTGATTCAATAAGATATTACATAGAATATGATTGATGCAATAAGATGTTATATAGTAGATGACTGATCCGTAAGATATTATATAGTAGGTGACTGATGCAGTAAGATATTATATAGTAGGTGACTGATGCAGTAAGATATTATATAGTAGGTGACTGATGCAGTAAGATATTATATAGTAGGTGACTGATGCAGTAAGATGTTATATAGAATATGACTGATCCAGTAAGATATTATATAGAATATAACTGATCCAGTAAGATGTTATATAGAATATGACTGATCCAGTAAGATATTATATAGTAGGTGACTGATGCAGTAAGATATTATATAGTAGGTGACTGATGCAGTAAGATATTATATAGAATATGACTGATCCAGTAAGATATTATTTAGAATATGACTGATGCAGTAAGATATTATATAGAATATGACTGATTCAATGAGATATTATATAGTAGGTGACTGATCCAGTAAGATATTATATAGAATATGACTGATTCAATGAGATATTATATAGTAGGTGACTGATCCAGTAAGATAAAATATAGAATATGACTGATCCAGTAAGATATTATATAGAATATGACTGATGCAGTAAGTATTACATAGAATATGACTGATCCAGTAAGATATTATATAGTAGGTGACTGATGCAGTAAGATATTATTTAGAATATGACTGATCCAGTAAGATATTATATAGAATATAACTGATGCAGTAAGTATTACATAGAATATGACTGATGCAGTAAGTATTACATAGAATATGACTGATCCAGTAAGATATTATATAGTAGGTGACTGATGCAGTAAGATATTATTTAGAATATGACTGATCCAGTAAGATATTATATAGAACATAACTGATCCAGTAAGATGTTATATAGAATATGACTGATCCAGTAAGATATTATATAGTAGGTGACTGATGCAGTAAGATATTATTTAGAATATGACTGATCCAGTAAGATATTATATAGAATATAACTGATGCAGTAAGTATTACATAGAATATGACTGATGCAGTAAGTATTACATAGAATATGACTGATCCAGTAAGATATTATATAGTAGGTGACTGATGCAGTAAGATATTATTTAGAATATGACTGATCCAGTAAGATATTATATAGAATATAACTGATGCAGTAAGTATTACATAGAATATGACTGATGCAGTAAGTATTACATAGAATATGACTGATCCAGTAAGATATTATATAGTAGGTGACTGATGCAGTAAGATATTATTTAGAATATGACTGATCCAGTAAGATATTATATAGAACATAACTGATCCAGTAAGATGTTATATAGAATATGACTGATCCAGTAAGATATTATATAGAATATGACTGATGCAGTAAGTATTACATAGAATATGACTGATCCAGTAAGATATTATATAGTAGGTGACTGATGCAGTAAGATGTTATATAGAATATGACTGATCCAGTAAGATATTATATAGTAGATGACTGATCCAATAAGATATCATATAGTAGATGTCTAGTCCAATACGATATTATGTAGTAGATGATCCAGTAAGATATTATATAGAATATAACTGATCCAGTAAGATGTTATGTAGAATATGACTGATCCAGTAAGATATTATTTAGAATATAACTGATCCAGTAAGATATTATATAGAATATGACTGATCCAGTAAGATATTATTTAGAATATGACTGATCCAGTAAGATATTATATAGAATATAACTGATCCAGTAAGATATTATTTAGAATATGACTGATCCAGTAAGATATTATATAGAATATAACTGATCCAGTAAGATGTTATATAGAATATAACTGATCCAGTAAGATATTATATAGAATATGACTGATCCAGTAAGATATTATATAGAATATGACTGATCCAGTAAGATGTTATATAGAATATGACTGATCCAGTAAGATATTATATAGTTGGTGACTGATGCAGTAAGATATTATTTAGAATATGACTGATCCAGTAAGATATTATATAGAATATAACTGATCCAGTAAGATGTTATATAGAATATGACTGATCCAGTAAGATATTATATAGTAGATGACTGATCCAATAAGATATCATATAGTAGATGTTTAGTCCAATACGATATTATGTAGTAGATGTCTGATCCAATACGATATTATGTAGTAGATGCCTGATCCAATACGATATTATGTAGTAGATGTCTGATCCAATACGATATTGTATAGTAGATGTCCGACCAATAAGATGTAGATGGCATTATTATATAATATCTGATCTGACTGATCTGGTGTAACTACTTTTATAAAATGTGGAGTGAACGGCGATGGCCTTAACCCGTTAATTAGCATGATTTTAGTGTTTTCAGACAATTCCATAGTAGTATAGAACATCATCCTGTATTTAACAGTACAGCAAATTTTTTATGTCATTATTAAATTTAAGATATGCTGTATGGATAATAATGATACTGGTGCCAATATTTTATGTGATAAATGTGGTTCTTCTATAGCTCTACATAGTCTAGTAGAATGCGACAATTTTCAACTGGACAAACAGCACAAACTTCCTGGTAGAGCTTCTTAAATTCACACCCACAAGCCTTTCTAATTCAGAAAATTGGTATTGAATTAAGCTAAGCTTCCTGTCAAATCAAATTGATCATTGCATTCGTTCATTTGTCACCGCGTTATTTGTTTTGAACATCTATATATTTATCTATATCTATCTATATTTATTATTTACCGTTTATAATTCTATTCATAAATGTATTTATATTCATTAAGTAATCTTCATTTTAAGTGGAATAAAAGAGTATAAATAATTGAATTAATTAAATAGAAGACGACTGATTCAATAAGATAATAAAAAGATTATGGCTGATCCAATAAAATAGCATATACAAATTAACTGCCCAATGAGATATTACACAGATGATAATATATTGCTTAATGTGCAAGCTTACTGATCTAATAAGATAATAATATACACACTATGAATGATCGAATAATAATTCATATAGAATACATGTAGATGTATAACTGGTCATACAAAATGCCTGATCCAATAAGATATTGTATGCAAGATGACTTTACTACTTTTCATTTGTCCCTTTATTCTTTTTAAATCAAACTTTCCTGTTGCTTTGTGTTTCAACCTCTCACATATTGATATTTTAATAAAACCAATTTATCTATTAATATATGTGCATTGTTTGAACAGGTAATGTACGTGCCTGGAAACAGCATTGATCGATAATCGTGACAGAGAGAACTGTATTGATTGTCTGTCAAGGAACTGTCCTTGATATTGTCACACCCGAACCTCTCCTTCTACGTATATAGTGTTTTCATTCAGTATTCACAGACTTCGTGTATTATGACAACCATCACCCAGGTCCATAACAAACACTACTAAGGCGGAAAAATAATAAGTCTTCGCTGAAAACCAATCATTTCATTTATTTACTAGGGTCGCTCTAGTAACATAAAAACATTCGTAGTCTGTGTATTCTACGGGGCTTCGTTGTCAAGGCACAGTATTAAGGTGTCCTTTCTGTACATTTGGAGTTGAGGGTTTCAGGACTGGGTTAGGCATTCGATCGATACGAAATCGAAAATGGCAGAATTTCAACAAAGTTTATTCGGCTGTTTCAGCAACTGTACCTTATGTTTGGTGACATACTTCGTCCCATGTTATACCGCTGGTAAAAATGCCGAAGCTGTGGGCGAAAGTTGTGTATTGTATGGTTTTCTGTCCTTGTTAGGTTGTATTGGAATCTATACTAGAGCTAAAATTCGAGGCAAAATTAGGGAAACCAAAGGAATTGAAGTAAGTTTATAAAATTTTATTATTTTTGTGAACTCTTTCGATCACACACTTAATTCATCTACTTAAATCCATAATTTCAAAGCAAAATGTATTTTCAAATTTGTAAATCTTTGTTTAATGATGTTTCTTATCTAAATGACCACTATGATGACACGATAAACTGGATAAAACCTTATTTAGATTCAAGCAAGTTATTGCCGAGACATGGGCCATCAGTCAAATGTTTAACAATTGCCCTTTCTGTACAAGAATAAAACAACTAAGTCATACGCAACTGTTAGGATAGAACGAAAACTAATACATTTGGTTGACTACAATATTTTTTGCCCCTTTGCATTTCATTATCACGGACAACACAAGAATACATCATATTACCATACTTTTCTCAATAAATGTGACCAGCATCAATGCTAGAGGTAACTTGAGATTATGACTGAGCATATATTACTTGTCATTGCGAATTTTGTTTTAAATTTTTACCCGACCATCTTTATTCGTGCTCTAGATAACTGTGCGAGGTTGTGTGATTCGTATCTGCATCAACCGATCTACTTCCACACAACAAATATGAGGAGTAGGGATGGACAATGAACATACTGTTTGGTCCTCACTTTGTGAATAATTGTTGGTTAAATAAAGGTTTGTCTAAAAATCTAAATATATATATATATATAAATTGGGTCACTTTTGTCAAAAGGACGTAGAATATTGAATCTAAATAAAAACCCGTATGATTTATTTTTTACACCACACACGTACATAGATAACAATATTTGTTCAAGTTCTGAATGGGCGTGACATGAATAAATAATAATAATAGTTTATATTCATATAGAATATTTGATGAAGAGATAATATATTTAGATTATTATCTAGATTACCCAGGAAAACTATCTTAGATTTCCTCATTCCACAGTATTGACGCGACTCTTTTTCATTTTGTGATACACTAAACTGTAGTTTCATTTCGTGTATAAGATGAAAAACATATTACTCTTCCATGTAATTATATCAGACCAGTAATGGCAACATAATTGAAAACATTTTGTTAAATTAAACATCTTTCTGATATAAAACGCAAATTGGACCTTAAAGACATTTTTAAATTCCACGCTTGAAGAGGTGTTTTCCTACAACAACAAAAAGACAGTATTTTCCATATGACAACTGAGAAAATGTTAGAAATGAGTTAATGTCAAGTAATAATTGTGGTAGTTACACACACTCATATCAAATATGTAGGCAAATGTTTCATTTAGCTCTATTTGTTCATTTTAGTTGTCACAAGGCCACGTGATGCTTTGATTAATGTTTTTTTTTTATGTAGGATGTATACAACAGACTCACCTCAAAGTATTTAAATATATTTTTTATAATTTCAGGGTAGTTTTGGACATGATTGTGTCATCAGTTGGTTCTGTGGTTTATGTGCCTTAATTCAAGAATCCGCCGTAAGTATACTATTTATTGTGATTTATGTTAAGATAGGTAATAACACTGTATTATAAACGGTAAAATTATAACACGATACATAGAATCCCACATCTACCTCTTATTGATATAGCAATCAAACAATCAAATCTTCCATAAATATCGCTCTTAGCTGTAATCATGAAACCTGCGTTGATCATAACATTTGCAATGCGTTTGCTATTATTTGTACCATATTTCACTGGGCCAAACATCTATATTCCCGCTTATAAACACAAACAGTACATGAAAGATAACAAAACAGAAGGCTAGAATAGAACGTGGCATTGAACTATAAAGAATATGTAATCAATAATTCAAACGATGCTTTCAACGCTTGATAGGTCGAAACAACAGATAGATCAAGACATCCAACAAATATTGTAGAGTCACACTTGGTTGATTCAATTCTATAATCTTGCAATTGGTCATTCTCAAAGGTTTACCAATAAAGATTAAAGTTTCATTTTTGATGGATACAAAATAAGAAAAAATAATGGATAAATACTTAATTGATCATTTTCTTTGCAAATTTGGCATGCTAAAATTGACACTAAGCGCACGGTGTTTCTAAGAGATGAGCACTCTGTATGCCTTCTATTACAGACATAAGACTTTCATGTTGGCTGTATTCTTCTTCTTTATAGATTTTTATACTTTTTGATTTATTTCAGTTCATAACAAATTATTCTATATTTAAATATTGCTCTTGTTATCTTGCAGGAGGTTGGTGGTACCTGCGGAGAAGCCCAAGCAATGGTCCGAGAATAAAGGCGATGTAAAGAGTGACTGCTGACTATTTATATTTGTGTTGAAAACAGTATTTGAAATATTTTGGATTTAATTTTTGAATATGGAAAATGTAAAATTCCGTCCATCTTTTAAAACTTCCGTGATTTCAATTTTGCATAATGGAAAATGATAAATTTCTCAATCAAATTTGACTGCCTGACATACTCATACTCGAAATTTCTAAATCAAACATGACTGGTTAACGTTTTAACTCAAACTAAAACGTAAAACAGAATTATCTTAAAGAGCAGCTTTCTCAGCAATTTACGCAATGTACATAATGTAACGCACTCGTTTTATTTATACAGTTTTTGATTTTTCGTTAACCAATTTGTGGTATTTTAAGTGCTTTTTACTGTTATTCGTGTAGTCCTTGGTGTATCTTTGAATCTGTACAAAAATGAAGTCCCTCAATACATTTGAAACAGTTTTTTTTAAATACTTTGTAGTTCTTTGCAGCAGAAAATAAATTATTCTACCTTTTGACAAATAAAATCTTTGTTGTTTTTCTTTTATTCTTTATAATCGAATGCATTAAAATGCATACAATGTTCAGACTGATTGTCGCTGAAGACATACAACAACTTCCCCCGGATGAATGGCGAATGATTGTCTTCATTAGCTAAATAACATGCTGAAACATAGTACACAAAGTGATGTATTAATTCAGAGAGAGCCATGTTTCAAGAGTATTTTTTCTTTTTTTGCTCTAGCAATAATTTGTCCTCGTTAGATCCCTAACATTTTAGATCCATATGATTCAGTTTTAGGCTAAATTATCGCGGTACGTCCAAGCAAAGAATCCACCAGTGATATAAGATAATTGAGATTTAAACGTAGACATGAGGGAGATCGATGGTAGTAGCCCTGAAAAAATGGCACCTACCACAACCAGTCCAAATTCCCAAATTCTTAGTGATTCCGAACATGAGCCTCGAATCAGCACTGAAAGTCTTAGTAAGTAAAAATAAAAAATTGGAAAACCATCCTCAGACTATCAGAACTAGTTTTACATCAAACAATCAAATTCTGTTTCTAATTTCGTCGGCAGTCATGATGGATCAACGAATACGATCTGGTTCAAACAATCTTCAAATGTAACCGAGGAGTACATTTACATAAACATAGTGATATTTCAAACATTAGCATATACAAAAGTTGCTGATTATTTCCAAAATTCACTCCAATACTCTGCCATCGCATACATGTGTAAATCATTCGAAGTTTCCTCGTCAATCATGATGACCAGAAAGTTCGATCATGTAAAACGTCAAAACTAGATAACCTGCTCATCACATCAATCTGTTCTAACAAAGTTTCACCCTTTTCAGACATCCATTGCATGTCATAATGGTTTTAGATCTGGAAAATAGATACTCTCTTCTTTTTTTTCGTCGTAGGTTCAAACTTCAATGTAATAATGTTTTATTTTGTGCTGTATATAGTTTATAATAAAAACCCTGTATTTTGAGTAGTTCTGAATGAGATCCTTGTTCTATGACTGTACCATTTCTAATGACTACAATATTATCAGCTGACTGAATTGTAGACAAACGATGTGCTATTATAATACACGTTCTACCAACTCGGGCTGTTTCTAAGGCTTCATGTACTACCTGAAAGAAGGATATCAGAGACACCGTTACGAACACTGACAAAATAGAAAAATAACCAAACATACAAAAGTAATTTTTAACTTATGTAATTTATTGATTTCGACTGACAGATAAAAGGATGTTTCACAACAAAACTTAACTGATATAATTATGAACATCATCATCGTTAATTACTAGAACATGTTTACATTTATGTTTATTATCACGACTGGCTGTGTCGCCTAAACAGTTTACTGACGTTCTGTCACATATTTAGCCTTATCCACATACTGCCATAAGTTTCCAAAAGTTGCCAAATTTAGTCAACCATTACCTTATATCGTTACCCTTAGAAATAAATGAAATGAATGAAAGTTCAGTGTTAAGTCGCATACTTCCTATTTTTTGAGAACAACCTTTGGAAATAGAGGATGTAAAATGGATCTTAAAGTAAATGACTGTAAAATTTCTCGTTATTACCTTTTCACTCTCTGTATCTAAAGCGGACGTAGCTTCATCTAATAAAAGTATTTTTGGATTTCGAATTAAAGCTCTGGCGATGGCTATTCTTTGTTTCTGTCCACCACTGAGTTGGGACCCTTTCTCACCAACAGTAGTGTCGTAGCTCTGTAATGATTAAAAGTGACTATTCTGACCGCTACAAAAATGTTGTTAATACGACTTAGGACACGAATGAGTCTCATGAACAATCAGCATAATTATGTATAGAGTTAGTTGACAACACAGACAATTTTAAATATGGGGGTATGTTTCATGATCATGAAGTTTCTTTTGCGCTAATATCATCAGATATGGTACAAACCTTTGGTAACTGCATAATAAAATGGTGGATATTGGCCTTTCTAGCAGCAGATATTACTTCCTCAGTCGAAACAGTTCGAGATAAATCTCCATAAACTATATTGTCTTTAATACTTCTATTGAAAAGTACCGGCTCTTGTGATACTAACCCGATCTGAGATCGTAGCCATTGAATGTTCAAATCTGAAACCTTGCTTCCACCAATAAGCTGAAATAGTATGAAATGATATAAAATAATAGAATAATCAGTCTCCTTCTAGAGTATTTTGTCCAAAATATTATATCCGCTGCTAAGCTTTTATGTCCCAATACCAAATCCGACCGTGAATACACCACCCCCTCCCCCATTCCATAACCAAAGATCAGTTTTAACAGGTATTCAGCATAATATGGTTTTGATTTCATCAAAAAGAGATCTACTCACAATGTTGCCGGAATATGGATCATATAATCTCTGTAATATTTGAATGACTGTTGATTTTCCACAACCACTAGTACCGACTAGAGCTACTGTCTGTCCTGCTTCTATATTTATATCTAATCCTTTAAGCACATTTATATCTGGTCGAGTAGGGTATCCAAATCTCACGTTTCTAAAGTTGATTGCACTGGATATCTGTAATAGAAGTCAAGGTTTCTGTTGGTGGTTTTGTTGTTAACCATGTGGTTACTAGTCGTCAAAAATACAGTCAAGTAACCTAATTTCGTGCTAACCTATTTTTCGTGCATCTCCGGAAATGTTTGATAATTTACATGTGCGACCTCGCGTGACCTCTACATATGCTTGTTTTGATAAACATGGGATTTCTGTACAATATCAGCTAGTGGAATGAATCCAGTAGTTTCAAGCAAGGTAAAATCTATTAATGTATACTTTGACAAATACAAAATGGCGGATTTCAGTTATTACCAAACTTCACAATTTTTTATCGGCCGAATTTCCTTATAATCCCTAGCTGTAATCCGAATTCCAAGTGTCGTCTTCTAGAATATATTCAAACGAATGAAGTCACGTGATCGACTAGCGGATTCCGTGTCAGCAGAAAATTTCTTTGGAACACAATGTGGGCCGTATTCTTATATTGTTTCAATGACTTTTTAGCAATAAATCACGCTACGTATCTTATTTTGTCTGTCACTATTTTTTTTTAATCATGGCTCTTTGAAGAAATTGTCACTAGTCATAATGAATTGATATTAAAGATAAATACTAAGAGAAGTTAATTATACCACCCGGTATCCATACAACGTGTTTTTCTCGACTTATTTATAGATCAAACATTGTACACGAAAAAAGGTGACGCATTTTGCCGCCGTTGTCGAGTTGGTTACTCATGAAATATTGGTCATAGTGGGGGATTCATAAAGAAAATCGAAACAAACCAATTTTAATTATTATGTAGAATATCTGAGGAAACATCTAAGACATAAATTTTTGTTCCGTTTTTTTAACTTTGACGAAATTCGGTGTTGAATCCTTATATGCACGAAAATAGGTTAGACCACTGTATCAATTGAACATAAGTATCAAACCGTGGATTAAATTAAGTACAAACATCGAATTCAGAAGAAAATGACAATACATTTAATACAACTATTTCCACTGCCCGTTTTGAACTCTAAATGCGCCAAGCTACAGATATATTGATAAATAGATATTAATTGTATTGTTCGCCCTTTTTGGGCAACATACATCATGATACAAGATAATACAAAATAATACGTGATACAAATATGACACACTGACATCAATTACTGGTTATACAAAAAATATAGTGTATACATAAACAAGTTTGAAAAACAACATCATAGCAAATTAATGCATAACAACAAATAAACATATGTGGTGACAAATTTTACGATATAATAAATAAATAAATTTATGCAACAGCATGACGGACTATATCGAGCATAAGACTATCTTATTTTAAGTCCAATAAGACTCATGCATGCGTAAAACATAAAGGAATAAAGCACCAAAGGAATAAGCAATACATAAGTCTATTGTAATTCATCTAAATATAACACATATAATATTATAATAGAACAACCTATTTATTTCTGGATTTTAGTGTGTAAAAATTAAATTTAGAAACAACTTCAGCCAAACTGTAAATTAGCGGATTAAAAAGAACATGAAATGACAAAGGAATATTTAAATGTGAAACGGTAGAAGTGATATATTTATCTCCTAGGGTATTGTATTTGGGACATATCAGGAGGAAATGGGATTCATCTTCAACCAAGGATAAATCACATTGTTGATATATGCGTTTATCAACAGGAATTTGTCTTCACCGATCTCTCTCAATTAATTGATGTGTACTAAAGCCCCGATCTCACATATGCCAAGTATGCTTCTAGGGCAATGACGGATGTTTTAAACATGTTTGAAATTTCCGCCAAAATCCACGTATCAGTACAGATCGTCTCATTTGGACATCCGAGCTTCATACGGCCTTGAATACGCGTATGTGAGATCGGGGCTATAGACCGAGATGAAATTTAAATTGTGCTCCTTTTATAGTTTTTTTGTACCTCATTACCGTAGCTGCTTTGTATTTTACCTGCTCCATACGCATTGCATACCTCGCAGCCTCTGAGTCAACCTTCATTACCGTGGAGCTTCCCAGACCCATCGGTTGCGCAGCCCTGTGAGATCCTACTATACGGATAAGCCATCGGACGTCCGTAATTAATACCCCGTCCTCGGCCACCCATCCATCAACTTGCATTTCACCCAATTTTGTACCATTGTCCAATCCGTCAAATTCTAGTTGGCGTATAATCCGTCGCTACCCGCCTATGTGAGATCGGGGCTTTAGTCTCAGTTAGGTCAATGCGGTAATAAAGGGTTTTACAGAACCGAATGTTCTCAATTTATTGTGAGGACTGTTGATTGAATCATGATAAATTAAAGAATGAAAAGAATTTTGAATTGAGAGCTTAAATTATTTACGTGAGAAATTTATGTGATCCATGTTAAAGTTATTAAGGAGAGGGAAGACAGCATTCGTATGAGAAAATTTTGGTTGCCAAGTTCAAATCCTCATTAAAAGCTCCATTTAGGGGTTATTTTGAAGAGTGGAGTTATCAAGAAATCTTTTGAAATACATAATCATTCTGTGGTAAATATCTAATTGTAAGGTAAATATTGATAATTCTGATAGACATCCAATGTTTGAGGCCTGCACAAAGGTATTTTAAATGGTCAAATGTAATTTAAAATTATCAGATAAATACTAACCTGCTGTGGTATTGTACCTGTCACATTGTTACAATCAATGGTTGGTTTTCTGTCCAACAGATGACAAATATCACGTGCCGCCATTTTAGCTTTGGATGCATCTGGAGCGAAGGCACTTGCTTGTCCTAATGCATAGGCACCAAATACAATAGCAACGAACACCCTGAAACCATCGATATTTTTACTGGTAAAAGTCTGATTACATAGTTTCAATATTATGAGGACAATGGGACCAAGGTTAACTTAAGTAGTTAGAAGGCATGACGGGTTGTATCATACCAGTATTTATTGTACCAGTGAAATCTTCGACAACACAAAACGAAAGAGATCTATATTATGAGATTATAAATCTAAAAGATAAGTATAGGTCTATTTTACATTTCAACAACAATGTAAATGTATTAAAACTGGTATTATATCTAACGTGCTATGTATGTCAATGAGTAAGTAAGAGAAAGCTTAAAGGGCTGTATTTTATTTGTACCAGTAAAATGCTCGACAAAAAACAGAAGGATTTTATGACGTGTATTTTTATGACATTGTAAATAAAGGATAGGAGTGGGTCTTTTTTACATTTCAACAATAATGTTAGGTATTTAGACTTTTATTACGTTTTATATGCTATACATAAAGTATTTGGATTGTGAAATATATTGTTTGAGATATGATATTCATTGTAACATGTCTTTCTTATGTTTGAATAACGAACTTCCTTGTGCAATTGGGAGTAAACGTTATTGCCAACCCAGGGCACTCAGTTGAGCCAAAGTAACAAATTAAAAAATGTAACTCGGTTGTATGGAAAAATCTTTGATGATTGATCAATACTAATTTAGGCCACACAATTTCCAATTCAGTCACAGCAAATTCATAATACAAAGTAATTTTTTTTAATAATTCTGAAAGGCTTCATTACCATTGGTCTTGGTAAAAAAAAGAACGGACACAAGAGAAAAGTTTCCCCACAATCTGTTATACCATATAAAACCTAATGTATTGTATTATGAGTCAGGGTATGAATATAAATCTACTTACCTAAACACCGAGACATAGTCCATTTCATTCTGCCGAATCAAATAGGCACCATAGTAAAATGAGGCTGCATAGGCAAAGAATATCACAGACTGTGAAAATCCAAAGGCAGCTCCTGCCAAATGTGCCTTCCCTAATGCTCTTCGATAAGGTCTAGCTAATTGGGTTGAGTACATCTTCTGGAATCTTTCTTGTAATGAAAATGACGTCACTGTTCGTATGTTGTCTAAAGATTCAACAGCAACCTTCACGAATAATTATACAGTCAATAAAACCATTGAAATCACATTTAATATAAAAGATTTTATCTCAATTTTCCAAATGATTTCAATTTATAACAATTATTATGTTATATCAGTTTGTTCCAATTGAATTGTAGACGAACAACCATTCTTTAAGTAACGAAAGTAAAACAACTACTTTTCCCTACCTTTCCAGCATTTTCTAAGGCTGTTTTATTTTTACCAGCCACACCAGCTAAAATTTTGATTTGTATGGCACCAGCAATAACGATAAATGGTAAGAAGGCTGAAATCAGTAGACTGAGCTTCCAACCAAAAATGAAAGCGATGACAAGAGCAATACCCATACTGGAAATATTCTGAAACGCCATTCCCAGTCTTACTCCTGTTGCCTTAAATAGAAAAAAGACACCTTTATATCAGTTCTAGAATTTCTTATTTCCCTGAAATGAAGAGTTGCTTGTATGATCGTGTGATGAAAGTGACATTTTGAAATATTCACCAACTGCTACTAATGTTTCGCCAATGTGTTGTTTGGATTTTGGGTTTCGTTTTCCTGTATTTTAGTTTCTATCAAACCTTATTAAACTAAGTTATGTTTAAATAAGCATTTTGTACTTTATATTCAGTTCTCTTTCACACAAAGAGCAGCTCCCAATTCCGAATATCGAATGTAATTTGTTTCTGGATTCTTTTGTCTTTCTGAAAACTTATTTTATAAGGAAACGTGTATTGGTTTTCAAGAATAAAAGAAATTAGTAGCTAAATAGTCCTAAATAAAACTATACTTGTGCAAATATTGTACCTACCCCTTGTATAGACGATGCCTCTGTGGCTAATTTAGTCGTCAGTGATCCTGTATTATTTTCTTCTCGATCAAACCAGGCCATTTCCTAAAACAATAAAAAGGTTCTTACTTTTTCTTAAATGATTTTGAAAGACAAAAGAGATTGTTTTAATCTAGTGGATGCTTTATAATTTATCCCTATATGATCACTTTTGGTAAAATGCATTTCGTCTAGTCATGAAAGTCTGAATTTCTCACCGAGAATATAGTATTAACTTACTTGATTTAACATGGCTGTAAATGTATTCTTACGCAGTCTCAACGTCAGCCTTTCTCCGGAAATACCAAACATGTAACTCTGAAAATCACACATTGAAATTAAATCTCTTGAAGACAAAATATAGTTTTTTTATTCAAATTTCTATCAGCGAGTTGAGCTAAATCGATTTTATTTATGCCTACAGCTCTTTTAGAATAAAAGATTCTTGTGATGCATTAAACTAGTTACCTGCAAGAAAGTCGCTAACCAACTTCCACATCCTATTCCTAGCAATATCAAACATAGTTTTAAGACCTCATTTTGACGCTCAATATCCGTTAGACTGAATATCTGAAAACAGAAACAAAACATCATGAAGAAACACTGAACCACAACATCGTCATAGCATGGCACCGTTTAACTTTCAAAGCATAAAAGTCCTGGTTTACAGAATAACAGTGTGGGAAAAGTTTAAAATCTTTTAGAATCAGAGGACCCCTGGACTCAACATTATTGTCATTGTATATTATCTAATTTTGGCATGCTAATTGAAAGACTATTAGATCACCCAACACAAACTGGTCACTATCATCACCTACACGTAAAACTTCTGAAAAGATGATGGCAAAGGATGGTTGGACGGAACCACTCAATAAGGCTGCTAAACATCCTATCACTATGAGGTACCATTCTGGAGAATTCATGGCAAACATTGTCAATAATCCACCACTACTCTGGTCTGTATCAGTTTGGGTAACGTCGGAGTCTGGGGGTGCTGTGTAAGTTGATCTTTTACTTTTTCTAGATAAACTTCGTTCTAGTTTTCCACTTCTTCTAAGCGATTCTGTTCTAATAAATTCATGTAAATCTTCTTCTATTTCTCTGTCTTCTTCAGTTTCATTGTTATCGTCTATAATAATAAAACCTTTCAGTTAAAAAGTTTTTATGAAAATAAAAGGAAAGATTTTATTCACAAAAATTGGAATAATAAAAACCTAAAAGTTTGACAAATAGACGAAGGTATTTACATATATTATCACAACTTATATCAGTTGCTATGACAAAGGTATCACAAAGATTACCAATACTCACCATTATTTTTCTGGATGGTCTGAAATAGAAAGAGAAAACCAATGATGTTCAAGTATTTTTGATTACATTCATATGCATACATCCAGTAAAAACGGATTGTAAATGCAATGTGAAAACAGAAAACGTTCAGCACCATATTTTCGTATGACTGTTAATACTTTCTTCATTATACGAAAATTGTCTTCCAATGTTTTGGCAATAATGAATCCTATGATAACTATATACACCGAACTTACCTGATTCATTACTAAATTGTAGTATATTCCTCTTTTATTCAATAATTCATCATGGTTACCTCTTTCCATTACGGCGCCATCTTGAAACGCGTATATTTCGTCAGCAGATCTAATGGTTGATAGCCGGTGGGCTATAATAATGGTAGTTCGTCCTTCACGTGCCTGCAATATGAATAGGCTTAAATGTTTATCATTAATTCTTTTCATGAGTAATATAGAATCTGTATTGGATAGAGGTGTATAATATCATCTTTCACTTATAAGAGTTGTGTTCACTTTTTTCGAGTAATTTTTCATATTTCACATTGGACAGCAAACATGTTCTAGACGATTCATACCTACCTTATCTAAAGCCTTTTGAACAATAGACTCGCTCTCTGAATCTAAGGCAGATGTAGCTTCGTCTAGTAACAAAATCTTTGGATCACGAACTAATGCCCTGGCAATGGCTATTCGTTGCTTCTGTCCACCACTGAGTTGAGCTCCACGTTCTCCAACCAATGTGTTAAATTTCTAAAAAATAGATTTAATAGTTATATATCATATCATCTGCATCTGCCATACATTGGCTTACTATGTGTCTGAAGTAATTATACCATTCCTTTGCTATTGGTTTTTTTCTGTATTGCTATCTTGACCAATTAAAATAAAACCATAAATACCTGTGGAAGTTGAACGATGAAGTGATAAGCATTAGCTATCTTTGCAGCTTCCACCATTTGAGCTTCTGTAACTTCTTCTTTTCCGAATTTGATATTTTCAGCTATGGTCGTGGCGAATAAACTCGGTTCTTGGCTGACTATACCTATATTATTTCTATACCAATTCAGATTCAATTCCTTAACATTATTACCATCTAATGATATCTAAATTGAAGAAATATTGCATGCACAAGCAATCTATCAAAACAAGGATATTTTTCGCTTTTGTGACAGAGGATTAGCCTGTACGAGGCATGTTTGTTCTTCTCCCAGTGTTGCTACAATAGTGATATGATGCTTTCTAGTAACTTTAGGTAATCCTGAATCTTGTTTCTGTTGAAATTTCTGCTGATAGAAATGATTAAGTCTACAAAGACAATGTTAAGGGTTCTGAACATCAACAACCTTTATAAGACTTTACCTGTCCATCCAAAGGATCATAAAATCTTTGCAGTAGCTGTACGACGGTTGATTTACCACAGCCACTGGACCCAACTAAAGCTACTGTTTGTCCTTTTTTAACATTCAGATCGATATGCTTCAGGACCTACAAATAAATAAACCAAGCACTTACGATCAGAACCGCAAAACGAAACCCGAAATCCCAAACAACACTTTGGCGAAACATTGGTAGCAGCTAATGAACATTAGGAAGTATATCAATCATGAGTGAGTAAGTATTTCATAATGAAAAATGGTATAAGGTGTCTAGAAGAGTAAGTATAGATTTTTCATTACTTTAAGTTACATTTAAAGACCACTAAGTGCTTAAGAAAACCATTTGACATTAAAGCTTATGATATGACATGAAACAAGCGTAATTTTCCAGCATAGATTATGATCGTTATATTTTAGTTATTGATACAAATTGGAGAATGGCATACTGGTACCTGAACTTCCGGTCTAGATGGATATGAAAAGCTAACATTTCTAAATTTAATGTAACCATTAACTACTTCCGGTTGTAGTCCATCATCATTTGAAATATTTATAGCTGGTTTCTGTAAATAAAAGGGGATAAACTATGCAAAGTTACATATACAATGCGGAATTGATCTATGGCCGATTTATTAATGCTAAGATTAAACCAAGTCGATAAGAACCGAAAACTATCATTATTATTAGTCGTGATAAGGTAAACAGACGTTGACGTCTATACAAAAATTTGAAATGACCATGATCCGGTACCTGATCAATCATGTGGTAGATAACATAGGCAGCACCGCGAGCAGAAGACAAAGCTGTAAAGCCAGGTGAGGCGTTACCCAGAGAAAATGATCCAACAAACACTGCATAGAATACCTACAACAAATAAAACATTGAAATATTTAATAAAAATATGTCATCAAGTGTTTATGTCTGTTTATTCGATGGAGAAGATGTTTCCAGCACTTGATCATGTAAATTCAACCCGATTGGATGTTTAACTACTACCTTCATTACCAGCTTATGGACTTGCGACACAAAACCTTTGATTATCCTTAAATATATAGAACTGTTTTGGGAAAGAACATTTTCTATGAGCCCAACAACTATGTTTTTATGAATACAGATTCACATACATCCGTTTACTGTTACTATCCTCATAGCATAACCAAACTTTATTTGAAGGCAAGGACACTCACTATCATCATTTTACCAACACTGTACATTTCTGGTTCTATAATGGTTAATTTGGTCCCGTACCAGAATCCCAAAGAATATGTTGCCATGACAACAAAAGACAGAAATCCAAGACATAATCCATTTGAAATACTTTTTTTTATGCCAAACTTTTTCGCTTCTGTTAAATTTTCTCCATACCTAGAATAAAATACATATATAACATTATATGAACCTAACTTAATATAAACCACAGTTTCATCACATGAATTTTCCTACATGTCTAAGATTGTAATAAAATGAAAAACTTTTCTGTAGTGGGCTTTGTTTTGTGCAAAAACAAGGGTTGATTAATTATTGTATCTAAATTACAAATCTATAGTGTAAAATCATCACATATTTGTGAACAAACCGAACTCCCAACGGTGAAATACATCCTCAAATGTTATTTTGCGTATTAAGACTGGGCAAAATATATTGTCATATAAATTTTAAGCAATGATAGCCACAATGAATTGTGAGTCCATGGCCTCAAATCGTACCTAACTGCTTCCGTGTGCTGCCCACCGAATGCGACCACAGTTCGAATGGAACTTAAAACCTCTTCAGCTATTGATCCTGCTTTAGCATACGCTTTTAGTTCTTTATTGGTAAGACTGGCAGCAAGCTGCAAAATAAAGTAAACATCTCTACATGTTTCCGATTAATTGTCAGTGTATTGAACTAAAAATTGAGCTAGTCATTCGTTAATCTATTGTATATGATCCATGGTTATTGCTACTCATTTTGGGACTATCTACCAATTGAAGAGTACCTCACAGTCAAAGTTATGCAGTAATGTGGCAAAATGGACATTGAACTCCTCAGTGCTCATGTATAGGCTAAAGTTGTTATACAAACCTTACTCATTAACGCTGAAGCTAGAATTAGGACTGGACTAATTGATAGTATCACTAGCGTCAGTTTCCAACCATTAATAAAACCAATGATACAACCAGCTAGAAATGCTGATATCCATTGTACAGAGGAACCTAATTTATCACCCAATCCCTCATGTATTCTACCAATGTCACTGAAAATAAGAAAGCAGATCATTTTCTTCGGGTGATAACGTACCTGATCGAGGTAATAATCATCTTCAAATACTTAAAAAGAACCATTAATTACTTACTGTTCATGTTTAGACTATACAGTTACCATTTTTTATAAACTGACCTGCAGGACATTTTTTGCAGTAATTGACAAAATAGTTCACGGAAGAAACAATACTGCAATTATGATCTCAAGAAAGTGATGACATTGTGCTGATCCAGTTGAGAAACTTCTGAAAATTTGAAGACTGTGCAGAACACATAAAGACTGTAAACCTCTTACTCCGACAGTCGCGAGTTCAGCTGTCCCGAATCATTCAAATCAAACCATCGAATATCTTGTTTTAGAATGTTACCATAAAACGTCAATCGTATCCTGTGGATCTGTCGTTCTGCAGTAATCATCCAAACAGAAATCTGTATGTATCCCAATATTATAACTGAACTGCCAATGACTGAAATTAATTCATTGATTAATTTATCACTTAGATAGTAGCGTTTCATACGTTTCTTCTCATCAAAGTCATAGAGTGGCACCATAACAAAGCGACAGTAACTTTTAAACATTATATTATGATCTTCAAAAACATCGAATGTTTAAACTTACTTATGTAATACATTGCGTACCAAAACATCTGATCTAACATCTGATTGGTCAATTCAAATTGTATATCATCACAGGTGATATTTTCAAATGAGATATTGGAAATAGTCCTACAGTACGGTCTGAAATTACAAAATAGTGTGAACCAGCTTTCGGAAGCATTTCCCGTGGTATGGTCTTATTTCCTAGCTTTAAATGGAATTCGAACCCGCAGTTCATGAAAACTCGACTGCCAAATGCGAATTTTTTACTAAAAATTGAAAGGTGTTCAGGAGTTGAAGAGCTGAAAAAAGAAAGACTAGTTTCTGAAAGAATGTCAAATGGAATCGTAGTAATGGCCAAATCATGCTCTGGGGATGGCTGATACAGCCACTGGAGCACCCGAATCCCAATAGTTGATCCATTGTTATACAAATGTTTGTGCATATTGGAAAAAAGGAAAGCTTAAAACTTACTCAAATATCTTTGGATTTTGTTTAACTGATGCAGTTGTAAGGTTTACTGTTCCTAAGAATTCTTTTACCGATGGTTTATTCAAGAATTGCTCCAAAACACCGGTGCTGATAAACAGATCGATAGATTCACCGAAAACATAGACCATGGCAGGATATGCAGCTCCATGTAACATGGACACCAGTACACCAATTACCATTAATAACACATCATAACAATCAGAAAATCTAAACTAGAAAGTTGTTGAAACTTATAATTTATAAACATCAAAATCAGAAAATGTTTGTAGCTATGAAGGTCAATCGTATTCAGAATTAGATGCTATGTACTTATATCTAATACATAAGACACGATACATCTGTGCAATGTTCAAAGACAAAATACCTCTTTTACTTATGTCATAATACGTCTAATTCATAATGCAAATGTTAAATTACATAAAACCACCGACACAATACCTAAAATGACACATGCAATGTCCTTTCACTTTCGACATTGTACATTGAACAAAGCATAATTGTCTTTGCGTCTTTTACATTGCACTAATTACATTACATCTTCGTCTTAGTATCTTCTACATTGCATTAGCCAACGCACATGTATCGTGTCGTATGTATTAGACATAAGTACATAGCATCTAATTCTGAATACGATTGACCTCCATATGTAGCAAGGTGAAATGTCTGGAAATGGTCAAGTGCTGAGTATGATTATTCAAGGTTGGCAAGGTTTTTATGTCTTACAGTAGAAGGAAATTTACCTAAAGGCAATAAGATATAGATTAGATGGATAGGCCTATAAACAGTTATGCACTGTTTCACTATTCCGACGTTAAAGTTATGCTTCGATTTTATCAAGTGTGTTATATGCTTACCAGTTCCAGGATTCCAACAACCTCTTTGCTCTTTACTTTCTTTTTATCATCACTTATATCAAGCCGTATTTCAGATTGGCTTGTTGCTTCTACGATAAGATATTAATTAGATATATGCTTATAATGAATCAGTCAAATTTTACATTCAAGGGAAATAACTCTTGCTATAATATTAACCTGGAAGTTGCATAGAATCTTTTAGTTTTAGGCCCTGGCGGCATAATAATTCATGCGACCAGAATGGTTGGATCCCACGACGAATATTCATCAGCTCGTTTGCCACGACAAGCAGCCTCACTTTTTCTTCATTGGCAAATATTGAGATTTTATCAACAAGATATATTTTACGAAAGAAGTCCAGAGTGATATATAGCCGCTACAGGCTTCCATACATATAACTCTATCTTACCTATAGTATTGGTCGGTGCTGTGGCTGAATTGTACATTACTTCATAGGATCCTTCGTCCATTTTACCTTCAGATTCAAACAATATATAGCAATTATACTCAACAAGAACTATATATAAAGATGTAGTGGAAATTATACATTGGAATTGTCTATAAAGTGATAGTAGCAGTTGGTAGACTTTATACCTTAATCACTTTTCAAAATGAAAATCTACCCATTTGGATTTTTATTTGTAGAGAAAGTTGTACGTGTCAACAGTTGGAAAATGGGTAGGGGTTTCTTTAGTATTAGCTACCTGATATATTGTAGATGTCGCCGTTTCCATTTCTCAGTTCATAACTTTCTCCTCTCATTTTAATCTTTTTAAATTCTTTATGAAAAAAATCATTAATTTCATGGTTTAGATAACACTTAATTATGATAATGGTATTTAAATGAACACTGTTTAGATGTTTTATATTATTCACGTATAAGACTAATTGGGACCTTAAGTAATAAGTATCATATCCTCATCCTCGTAGCACAATTTTACGTTCTTGTATACTTAATTTTAAAACGCTATAATAAAGATGATCAACTATTCAGAAGAGACCGCCTGAGAGACTTAATGGTTAATTAGTCTATTACAGAAATATTTCAGAAAATAAACTAAAGCAAACTTACTAGTTGTTAGAGGTAGATACAAATAAATCAAACTTTTACTTCATATAGGAGTGGAATATCTTAGATATATCCGAGAAAGCTATCTAAACACTAATTGGTCAATTTGTGTAATACCTCAATCCTATTGGTTAACAAGTGTTCTTACGGATGTTATCAACCGGTTTGTTAATCAGGTAAATATCCGGCTACTGTGACTTGAACTATTATTAAGGTGAATACATATCTCAGAATTATCAGCGAAATTCTAGTTTCAACGTATATTATTAAAGTTTCGCAACTTCTTCAATTTAATTTTAAATTCAAAATTATTTTTAAAATTAGTGGTCCGACTCTGTACACCCTGAATCAAAAATGCATAACCTGTATTCGACAAAATAATGAGGATTTAGTAATCTAAGAAATCTAAATATTTTGGTTTCACTGCTTACAATAATTATTATGGTGACATAAGGCTTATCTTGATCTAGGTGAGTTTCTTGATGCACTGAACGTATTGGTAAAAGCTTAGTCTATAAAAACCTTTGGTTCATGGGATTAAATACTTCGGGTAAGACACCAAAATTGCATCGTTTATTTTGTGTTTATAACCCTATCTATGTATCTCGTTTATCATCTTAAATAATATATTTACTTCAATGTGGGATAGTTGTAACAATATAAAACAAGTGGTCTTTATTGCATAGTTTATTAGATACATCCGTGTAGCGACAGAGACGTATAAAAAAGTCTGTTAGTTTGACCCACCTAATGTTATTTTCAGTTGACATAGATCGTATTTTATATGCAGGCCTAACTGTTCCAGACTATCCTTAGGGGGCGAAGAAGGTTCTAGATAAGACAAACTTCCAGTAATGTCTTTTATTCCAAGCAGAATTATGTTACAGAAATAATAAAATTTTATTCTGAAAAGAGAAAAGTTATACTGATAAGAATCAATATCAACTAAAGGCACGTAACCTCGTTTAGCAAGACTACAGACTACACTTAACTGATCAACGCACACAAGTTGGCTCTATAAGTTCCATTCTCTTATTACCTACCTAACATATTGAATACAATACAGATATGAAACTGACAATATATTGAGACTTATGAAAATACGTTGTATAACTAGGAAATATACAATAAATCTTAGCGGACAGGAAAATTGTGTCTATGAAATGCAAACTATGATCTAGACAATTCTGACACTTTAAACAGGAAAAACTCATAGAAAACGCATTGACACATGTACACTAGGCTATAATAATATGCTTAATACATTTATAAACAAAATATAATAGGTACCTGAAGGGTTTTGTCTCTAGACCTTAAATTATTATCAATATGTCTGCGAAAGTTGAAGGCGACTCTTCTGAATGAATATGGCGATTTAACACGAGGAGCAACAAAAGGTCACGTGGACCAATGAAAATTATATTACCTAATATAGACATACAATGACGTAAATATATTAAAGCTGAATTCTATGAAAACTAAAACAAAGTAAATAGCGACTGACTATTCAGAACAATCCTCCAAGGGGCCAAGGAGTGACGGAGTACATATTTTAACATACATATAAACTTAATTAACTAAACATACTATTACAAAGTTTACAAATTTGACACTTCTAATATTGGACAACACATTTGAATAGATCTTTTATACTCATTAGACTCAGTGCGAACTTTAACATTACGAACTATGCCATCTGTTCCAGGATATACTTCAATTATGCGTGCGAGTTGCCATTTTCCACGAGCAATATTAGAATCTCTTAATAATACAATATCATTAACTTGTAATTGACGACCTTTAGATTGCCATTTGACACGTCTCATTAATGTAGGAAAATACTCTTTGATTAACCTATCAAAAAATCTAGTTACAATAGTTTGAACAAATTCAAAGGGTTTATGCAAATTTTTTGTTTCTTGAAAAGGTCCTTGAGGAATTTCTGCTGTAGCTCTACCCAAAATAAAATGATTTGGTGTGATAGGTTGTAAGTCATTTGGATCACTGGATGAGAATGTAATAGGTCTACTATTGACTAAACACTTCACTTCTGAAAATACAGTTGACATCTCATTCCAAGATAAAGTTTGTTCTCCAACCGAAACTTTTAAAGCATTTTTCATTTGTTTGATTAGACTTTCAAACATTCCTCCTTGATGAGGACTTAGTGGTGTATTAAACTTCCACGACACTTTATGAAGCATTGCAAAATCTTCTATTTGAGATTTCCCATTTTCAAATAACTGTTTGAGTTCTTTTTGGGCCCCAACAAAATTTGAACCATTATCTGATATAATAACACTGGGCCACCCATGTTGAGCTGCAAATCTCCTTAAAGTATGAAGAAAAGCTGATGTTGAAGGATTTTCAGCAATGTCCAA